GCTCTGCCATACAAAGACAAAGAGCAGTAACTACGCAAACAGTGAAACTGAGAAAAATGGCTTTAAGGTTAATTTGCTGTCCAGCCAAATATGTTGTAGGTAGATAAGTGTTAATGCACTGATGTATTATTGTCTTATTATAAAGTAATGTTTTATGCATATCAACCACGACCACTGATTTGACCTAAGTCAAATAAATTACCATATTAAGTCAAACAGAAAAATAACAAGAAAGTTGGATAAACACATTTAAATTGTAGATCCTGCACAAAGTAAAATATGTTTTCAAGTCTAAACATTCTGCGTGATGAAATAGTCCTTATGGCGAAAACATGCTTGAGGGTTACTACAATACAACATTTAAAACATGAAAACATAACTATAACTGAACAAAAATATAAACGCAACACGTAAAGTGTTGGTCCCATGTTTCATGAGCTAAAATAACAGATCCCAGAAATCTTCCATACGCACAAAAAGCTTATTTCTCTCTAATTTTGTGCACAAATTTGTTTAGATCCCTGTTAGTGAGCATTTCTCCTTTGCCAAGATAATCCATCCACCTGACAGGTGAGGCATATCAAAAAGATGATTAAACAGCATGATTATTACACAGATGCATCTTGTGCTGGGGACAACAAAAGGCCACTCTAAAATGTGCAGTTTTGTCACACAACATAATACCACAGTGCGTGTAATTGGCATGCTGACTGCAGGAATGTCCACCAGAGCTGTTGCCAGAGAATTTAATGCTAATTTCTCTACCATAAGCCGCCTCCAATGTCGTTTTAGAGAATTTGGCAGTACATCCAAATTTGAGAGAAATAAGCTTTTTGTGCATATGGAAGATGGAAGACAATGTGTATGGCGTTGTGTGGGCGAGCGGTTTGCTGATGTCAACGTTGTGAACAGAGTGATCCATGGTGGCTGTGCCATTATGGTATGAGTAGGCATAAGCTACGGACAACGAACACAATTGCATTTTATCGATGGCAATTTCAATGCACAGAGATACTGTGAAGAGATCCTGAGGCCCATTGTCGTGCCATTCATCTGCCGCCATCACCTCATGTTTCAGCATGATAATGCACAGCCCCATGTCGCAAGGATCTGTACACAATTCCTGGAAGCTGAAAATGTCCCAGTTCTTCCATGGCCTGCAGACTCACCAGACATGTCACCCATTGAGCATGTTTGGGATGCTCTGGATTGACGTGTACGACAGCACGACATTTGATTTGCTGTCACTCTGTTGTGTAGCTCCATGGTGTAGCTCTGTGGTGTAGCTCCGTGGTGTAGCTCCGTGCTGTAGCCCTGTGTTGTAGCTCCGTGGTGTAGCTCTGTGGTGTAGCCCTGTGGTGTAGCTCTGTGGTGTAGCCCCGTGGTGAAGCTCCGTGGTGTAGCCCCGTGGTGTAGCTCCGTGGTGTAGCCCCGTGGTGTAGCTCCGTGGTGTAGCTCTGTGGTGTAGCCCCGTGGTGTAGCTCTGTGGTGTAGCTCCGTGCTGTAGCCCTGTGGTGTAGCTCCGTGGTGTAGCTCCGTGGTGTAGCCCTGTGGTGTAGCTCCGTGGTGTAGCCCCATGGTGTAGCTCTGTGGTGTAGCCCCGTGGTGTAGCCCCGGGGTGTAGCTCCGTGGTGTAGCTCTGTGGTGTAGCCCTGTGGTGTAGCCCTGTGGTGTAGCTCTGTGGTGTAGCCCTGTGGTGTAGCCCTGTGGTGTAGCTCCGTGGTGTAGCTCCGTGGTGTAGCTCTGTGGTGTAGCCCTGTGGTGTAGCTCTGTGGTGTAGCCCTGTGGTGTAGCCCCGTGGTGTAGCCCCGTGGTATAGCCCTGTGGTGTAGCTCTGTGGTGTAGCTCCGTGGTGTAGCTCCGTGGTGTAGCACTGTGGTGTAGCTCGTTTACTACATATCAAATGTGAAATAAATAGATATACCCTGGATACTCCACAAATTTCCCCCCACATTTTTGTTCCATTTTGAGAAACACCTACTGCATAAAATAAAGTTTCTTCTGTTTGGTGCATTGGTTGACTGAATTTGGATTCTCACATCTACAGTATGTACAGCATGCATTACTATGGAAATAACCAGGTTCCCGTATGACCATATTTCTTAATGATGAACTGTTTACTTTTATCAGTGCTCTGTAAATAAATATGTACAGCTATGATTACAGAATGAATATATTAACTTCAAACTGGAGCTAACATGACCATGATGCTCTTTAATGCCTCAGCATTTTAATCTAATTGGCCACTAGGTGGTGTGTTTTGTCTTTCAGTTGGCCCCTGCGCCTGCGGTGATCCAGACAGACAGAGAAAGGTTGGGAGGTCAGTTGACGATCAACGCAGTGCAGTTTGATTCATCAGGTGAGTCTTGAATTTGAGTGGGAAGTGAGCCTGAGATTGGGGATTTATCATTAGGATATGAAGGAGGGGTGGTGGGGAGCTACAAAGGCCATGTGTGAAAAGGTGGACTGGTCATGGAGGAGAAGGTGTGAATGAAATGCCTTATATTGTGGTCATTAGTGTCACCTCACTGCCAGCCAGGGCCTGGGTACTTAGCAGATGTGCTCCAAAGCACCAAGGATTGGAAGTTACTGTTCTGTGCTTGCATCAAAAAGGCCTTGTCAATTTAAACAAACCAATGTTTCCAGCCACACAGGCCACAATCCATCATTTGGAACCCAACGTTTTATTACCTCTACCCTCTCCATGCCATCTTTTCATAAATCATGTGGTTGTCATTGTGTCAAGTTGTTTAATAGTAATCCAGTTAACACTGTACCATGCTGTACCATGCTCCTGTAGTAATTAGAGTCCTATGAATGTCTTATTCAGGAGTAATGGTGGTGACCCACAATTCTGGTACTTGCCCTGGCATGTTCTCCAGACCCTAGTCAGCTCTAACTGATGTTCCTCTGAACAATTAACCAATCAATTATATACTACTGGCGGTCACTGTGAACATGGCAACCAGTATAACATTAAGCCGTGGCTTAAACCGTTAGTGATACATTCAGACGGTAGGTTATTCCAAAAAAAAAAGGCCTGGCTGTTTTTGAGCAATAACTTAACCCAAATAACCTTTATTTTGATCATCACTGTCCGCTGGACATACGGGATAGCTCTATTCCCCTCCCTATCCTCCTGATAATTTTTGGGGGGGATTATTATTTTATTTTTGTGTTTGTGGTGGGGGAAAACGTTACCAAGAAAAAAGTGAAAAAATGTTTTATTGTAAGTGCAAAATGGTCCTCTGTAGTGGTCATTAGGAAGTAAATATGAAAAAATGAACATTACAGTCAATGGGTACAGTAGGTGAAAAACATAGTTGCAGCATCCGGGTGTCCACTACAGAGGACATTTCTTGATAAGCTCTTATTTAGCTCTTATTTAATGTGAAAATTATTACACTGTCCTGACAACTCACTTAACTATTCCTGAGATATTCACTTACTATAAATAATTTGAATATCAAACTCACAAAAATTATCATTAATAATTACACACACTACTTTTCAAATTTCCATGAAATGTGCTCATTTTGATGACAGACATTTTTGTATGAACCAGGAAGATTAAGTTGTCAAGGTCACACCCCTACACATGTGATATCAATGAAAAGCCTGCAGAATGTTCTCTCAAAGGGACAACAGGACTTAATACAGTGGCTTGTATGGCCGCAGAGAAACAGACCTGATGTCCACTAGAGAGGACAAAAATGAATTTCTGAGTCTCAGGAGGGTATACTTGCATATGACTCCCGAAAATGAATGCACTCACTAACTGTAAGTCGCTCTGGATAAAGATCGTCTGCTAAATGACTAAAATGTCAATGTAAAAAAATATGGTGCTTTCAAGACATCTGGGAACTCGGGAGAAAATGAGGTCAAATCATGTCAGTGATCTTCAGGTCGGAAAGTCAGAGCTCTAGAAAGATGCCCGAGTTTCTGACTTGGAATTCCGAGTTGTATAACCATTAAACGATTTTTCCCAGTCGGAGCTCGTTTTTTTTTTTTTAGTTCCCATTTGTCTTGAGCGCACCGAAGTCGTAAGTCGGAGATTTCCGTGTGCCCAGTGGTTTTGAACGCGGCATTATAGCCTCCAATCTTGTCTGACTGACACACCATTTACAAGTCCGTGAACTCCCTCTGAAGCATATAACGGCAATGTTTAAGTAAACAGAGTAATGAGGTATTTGCACGCTGTTATCACTCTTGTAATCAATGTGAGCCAAGTATTTGTTTTATGATGGGCTGCTTGGCAAAAATACCTTGTTGATAATAGCCTAAAGGGCGCTCTGCAGTGGCGGGCCTATTATAACGCTATGTATCATCTGACCGGAAAACGTGGCCGTCTGTAACCTATTGCTACTGAGGTGTACAATTTGGCTTATAGGCTATATTTATTGTGGTATATACTAACCTTGAATTCGAAATCCATGTAATTCGTATATTGGAATCACATGTGTTTGTACCACTTATATTGAGAACCCCTTGTAGGCTAAGTCTAAAAATTGGGGATTTCTGAAATGACAATTTGGAATTTATGACAATGTGAAGAAGAATGACAAGATGAACTATAATACATACATGTGTAATGCGTTTTAGTAGGCATGGTCAATATAGCGTCACAGTGGAGGGGTCCGTATTATGAGCATCCACATGTGCAGCAAATGGTTATAGAAAATTGCAACATTGTTTCAAAATGAAGTCAAGAAATGTTGCAACAAATGTATCTTTAAGGTAACTTCCAGCAGAGGTAGAGTTGTTTCTTTACGTGAGGCGCGCTGTAGACCTACAGTTATTACTTGTCTTTGTGTAGTAAAGAACAAAAGCAGGTGCAAGAACAACGCGTGGGGGCGGGCTTTACTGCATTAGGGCAAAAAATTGTCATTCAGAATCATTGCCCATAGGCCAGTCATCTAAAATGGGCGTGATCAGGTTCGGCGAGTATATAACTCTCCCGGAACACTTTCAATATAGAGGCAAGTGAAGGAACTACATAGAAAGCGGAAAACAATTTCAAGCAGTAGCCTATGATGAAAAGCAGTGAACTTGGCAACAAGAAGTTCAAGGTCGGAATCAAGGAAGAAAAAACGTAAACTTGAGAAGCAAGCGAGAACAGACCCCTGTTGCATATTTGAAGACATCTCTTGAGCCGAGCAGCTAATAGCCTTTTGATGCTGGACATATCAATAGTTGGTTAACCAACTAGGCTACCTTTAGTTAACTGTTCACTAGTCTTTAGCCTAGCTTACCGGCTAGGCTTGTCAATGCTTTTGCATCAGTTTGTGAACGGAGGCCTGGAAGTGATGCATTCTACAGCAATTCAAAAAGACACTACTTTTACAAAAATTTTCGTGGGTGGTTTGCCCTACCACACTAACGATGCTTCCTTGAGAAAGTATTTTGAGGCCTTCGGAGACATCGACGAGGCTGTGGTGATAACGGACAGACAGACGGGGAAATCCAGAGGATATGGCTTTGTAAGTAACATTGACACTTGTCGGTAATGCACTTATCCTGCAGCTTGATCAGTGGGAGCACGTGCGTCTTTACGGCAAACCAGTGAAATCGAGTTGCCTATAAAATGTTAATGGTTGGTATATTTGTTTTCTATGTAGTTATTGGGCAAATGCTCACCACGTTTCCTTCCGCCACCAAGTTATTGTTCCATTTAACTGACTAGGCTACTTGCCTAGAGGAAAAAAAACATGAGGCTGTGCCAAGTACCTGTTTAAAGGCCCAATGCAGCCGTTTTTATCTCAATATCAACACATTTCTGGGTGATTGTTTTAAATTCAAATGGTGAAAAAGACAAATTGCTTCTTAGTATAAGCAAAATCGCAAGCAAGAATTCAGCTAGAACTGTCTGGGAGTGGTCTGAGTGGGGAGGGGAAACTGAAAACTAGCTGTTGGAGTTCACTTGAAGACCAATGGAATGGTCTAAAGTGAGCAAACGCCACCTACAATGGGCACTGTGTCATGCAAAACGAACTCAAAAAGGGCTGCTTGCACTGAACTAGCAGTTGAAAAATGGGGAGGGGTTGGGGAACGCTGATAGCATTGCCACTGCCCTTTTTTAAAGCTGCAATATGTAACTTTTTGGGCGACCTGACCAAATTCACATAGAAATGTGAGTAATAGATCTGTCATTCTCGTTTTGTACACCAGCTGAAAATACAATATTTATTATCGTTATGGAAAATATATTTAATAGTGGTTTAGATAGTACAATGATTCTCAGCACTATACTTGCTTGTTTTGTCACAAACTGAAATTAGGCGAACTATTAGAATTTTAGCAGCCAGGAAATGGTGGCGCAATTTCAACATAGGGCACCTTAAAAAAAAATATATATATATATATATATATATATATACACTACACTCATTGCGTCAAGTTACACCTCGCCATTACACTAAAAGGGCATTATAATTTTCACAATTTCAACCTCAGTGTGGAAATCTATATAAAACACAGGAAAATCACGTTTTTTACTGCACTGGGCCTTTAAGGACATGGATATCCCCAGCAGAATACAATGCTGTCATCAAAGTTGCATCTCTTGCATATTGCGGGCATTCAAACGCATGTCAAAATAAATCCTTGTCCAAATGTACGGCTTAAACGCACAAATGCAGAGTATAATTTTTTGCCTTGCTGTTATCACAGCTGTAATCAGGATGAGGGATCACATGAGTTGATTGATAAGAAGATGATATATCCACATATCTAATGTCCCTCTGCCTACCCTCTAAACGAACACACCACATGCCTTCTCCCCACCAACCTCTCAGCGCTGGCCCGTGAATGACCTAGCGCTTATCGGTTATGAGCGCGGCAAGGGCACACACCGAAGTGCGAGCTGCTGTTCTCTCTCGCTTTATATGGGGATTTTGGAGCGGTGGGGACGTAGGCCCTCTCTCATTGTAAACAACCGAAACACTCAGTGGTGTTTATAGAATCATAACTGCGGTTATAAGTTAGAAAGTGGGAGTTGTACTTTTCTCTCCCAAGATGGACTACTGCTCACTGCATTAGAGTACAGATTCAGTACCCCGCCATACAACACACCTCCCCTTGTTGTAGTAGCAGCTGTCAGATATGGAAGTTAGGTGCACTTCCCCCTCCTGTGTGTCAGCTTTTCCAATCACCACAGGTGTTTTGTTTTTTTATCACCATAGATGGTTCTATTAACCTTTTTATAAAACAAATCTTCAGCTCCTAAGATTGACACTATACAGCCCAAATTCAGATTGTCTGCCAACTTCCTTTAATGATCCTCTGGTACTCAGCCAGAGCGAGCAGAAACATTTAACAAAGATAATCTGTATGAGGCAGGCAAAAAGAAACCCACCTTCCTTTTCATGGCTACAAAGAACAGAAATGGCAGAAGAAATGCAAATATTTACCAGAAACTTGGAGAGACTCATCAGCATTAATAAAGGCCAAAGATGGAATGGAAAACTGTGTGTGTGTCTCTCTAATAGAGACTGCGTGTGTGTGTAGTTTACGCCTCAGCCAGTTTATAACTGTAAGAAAATGACACACTGTGTTTACACATCAGCGGTGACCAAAAAACAGTGGAGCTCTGTCATTAACGGCTGCTGCTGAAAGTGTCTGGTGTTTCAGGTCCGACTGACTCGGGCATATGAGGGTGCTCAATGCTGGGAAATAGGTGTTCGCCACCTTGCATGCAGCGAGGGCAAAAAACACCCATCGCTTTATCCCAGTAACCGACAGGGCAAACTTGATCATCCTGTTTCTCACAGCTTGAGTAAAACGGCTCCAGAGCAAGGCTTACCTTTAAACACAATCCAAGGTGGATTAGTAGACCCCCTTCAATAGAGTTCCAGTGTCAACACAACCTCTCTGCTCTTGTGTCTTCACAACACATGCCCTGGAGTGGGCTCAAAACCTCTCGTCTAGTCTAAAGAGGTATGCTTACTTCAACAACAGGCTAGAATACATCTACACCTCAGATATGTAATCATCTGAGACCTCTTGAATTGGCAGAAGAACAAAACATAAAGCAGAAGGTGATGCTGTCTAATGCCTTGGAAGGTGAGTGTGGGGTGGATTCTAACAATCTCCTTATTCTCCATTGCCTAATGGATAATCCCTTATTATTCATCATTACTGAGCCATATTTCAGCTGACCTCTGACTGTGCTGCTGACAAGTGGGTGGGTGGTTGACCAAGTCTTCTGGGTTGTGTTTAACTGATAATCACTGTGCTTTGTGTACAATTTCCTCTTCTGTTTAGAAAGGGGAATTTATGCGGTGGAAGCTGGACAGGGGGATTTCTGTGATGACAGACTAATAGGGGTTGTTTTTCTTTTAGTTCTGCTTGGCTGGTCGGGGTGGCCTTAATCTTGACTGACCTTTTCATAGCTTGGCTGCCATAATTGGTGATTAATAGATTTCTACTTTCGACTGTATTACCAGCTAAAATGGGGAACTGGTGTCTTTTTGGTATTGCTAATATTTTCAACGTCTGTGTGATTACGTGTCAGGTGACGATGACAGATCGGGGAGCAGCAGAGAGAGCCTGTAAAGACCCCAACCCCATCATCGATGGGCGAAAGTCCAACGTGAACCTGGCTTACATTGGCGCAAAGCCCCGCAGTATGCAGATAGGTGAGCCGACCAGGGGTGAGAACAACCGCCAGACGCACAAACACCACACCTACAACACTTGTCGCACACACGCACCATAAATGTACAAACCATTTTAATTGCATCTGGATTGACTCTTACTCTTGTATAATATGGGACTGGGTTAATGTAAAACAAAAACACAATGTAATTTGCCGTCTCTGCATGTTTTGTATGTTGCTTGAGTTACCCCCCCAAAGTTGAGTGAACTTTGCTCTCTCTGCCTCTCCTCTGCATTGTTCTCTGGCCCTCTTCTTTAAATGCAAATGTATCTGAGGGTTGTTTCCTCTGTCTTCCAGGCATATCCATCGGAGTGCAGCCTATTCATCCAGCGCTCATCCAGAGGCAGTATGGGTAAGTGAGTGGGAGTGGGCACTACCTCTGTGACCTATACAGTATACCACAGTATCTTCTGAATGACATATGTTGAAAGTGTGTGTCAGATTGCTCTTTAGATGAAACCCATATGTGCATAATGTATGTGAGCGTTTTAGACTTTTGCCAATTGTTAACTTTTTTTGTTTTCAAATGGTCATAGCATGGTACATTCCATGGGGACATGTGACTCTCAACCCCCTCTTTTAGACCCTCCAGTATCTATTTGGTTGAGTGGGCTCTCTCACTGAGCAAGGCTCCAGGGCAGAGTGTTTGCCTGTGTTGTAGAAACAGCCTGGAGGGAGGCCAGACTGTGACCGGTGTCCAGGACACACGCTCTGCTGGACATTTAATGGTCATGCCACTGACATGGGATTGACACCACTTGCCCCCTGCTGCTAGAGTGTGTCACCACCCTTCCCTCCCTCCTCCAAAGTCCTAGCTTTGAAGCCAGAGGTCCAAGCCCTTACATGTTATAAGATCATGTCAATGGACTTTGGGTACTTAGAATCCCCCCTATGTTCATAACGGGCAGAGCGGAGCCCCCCAGGGTGCTCTGTGGTCATGTGTCTGACAGGTGTTGGCTCTTATTGCAGCCTTTTACACCACCTAATCCCCAGTGACTGACTGCAGCCCCAGAGAGGGGGAGAGAGGGCACCTGTCTGTTGAGCTCGGAGATCTCTCTATGGGCCGGTGACAGACACAGGCTGCTCTAAGATGTAGAGCACACAAGTGTTCTTTCAGCCTTTCTCTCACACCAGACCCTTAAATGGCATGTTGTGAAGTGGGATGGTTGGGAGGGATTGAGCATGTGTGTGTGGACCAGACTGGACCGTAGCATAGTGCTCCTTTTCCTCTCCCCCTTCACTTTCCCCTATAGTATTTTCCCCTCTTGTCCTCCCCTCCCACAAGGAGAAGGAAACAGGGTTTGTCTTTCTCGTCTGAACACCGTTTTCTGCTGGGTGTCAGGGGGACGATTAGCCTGAGATACTGAAAATTGACACCCCTGTGAGACTGGGGGAGGGAATAAGGGGGGAAGATTAGGTGGGGGGGGGGTTGTGGAAGAAGGAGGGCGGGGGGATGTGACAGCTCTGTCTCTGAAGAGGCATTGTGCTTAATGATGCTGTATTTTCACCAGGCGCCACACCTCCTACAGGTGTCACCCACAACATTTTTTTGTTTTGTTTTTTTGTTGCATGAAATAGTTGTGATCGCTTTTCTGTATAATGTTTTCTACTTCCAGGCCAGAATTTGCAATGCCAGGACCTTTGTAGAATTTTGTTGTTGTTGCATGTAGCCTTTCATTTCTTTGCTATGATTTGTGAAAATGATCCTGTGCATGTAGTAGGGCTGTCCCTGACAAAATCTAAATACACAAATCTTGGTCGACCAATAGTTGTCTGTTCTTTCGACCAAGCGACTGGTCGAAATTTTAAAATGTGTATCTTTCCATATGTAGACACCCTATGTGTTTTAATAAAATCAAACTGTATATGTAGGCTACTGAGCTTGTTTGATGCTTTAAGTATAATGTGATTTAAATCATTAAGACACACAAATGATTTGAGGGAGCCAGAGATCAAGATGGCCTAACCAGAAGAAAAAAATGTGTTCCCAGCCTCCCCCTGCTGCTGCTGGCCTTAGCACATTCTGCCATTACACTCCCGAAGTTGGCGGTAATAGACTACACCAGGGGTTGGTAACCTTTTCTATTGGAGTGCCAATTTATCTTAACATTTCTACCCATCTGCGTGCCAATTATGATTTTCATATGCACATTTGTGGAACGGTTTTGTTTCTTTTATAATAAAGTTGTGTGATTTAATTAAAATTATATCTAAATTATACAAATCTGAAAGTAATTTCTAGTGCCAACTATGTAAAAATAGCCTACATTAAGCCAACAAATAAAAACATTGCAGACTGCAGGTAGAAAATATCTTGATACAAATAAATCACATTGGCTACATATAGACTGTCTGCAAGGAACTTTAAACATTGTATCAACTTGGTCCAGCCCAAAGCTTGTGTTAACAAACTTGTGACATTGTATAAAACATTCTGGACAGCTGTAGGCTATTTTCGCAAGGGATAAGAATTAATCAGGTAGGCCTATTTTATGACGTTTCCAGCGGATCAGAGCATGACATGGTTTTCCCTTTCAGGCCGAGTGGTTATCGAAAGGGAGAGAGCTGGGAAAATCTTTCCAAATAGGCTACATTGAGGAACTATTGTCATTCTCAATGGATGTAAAACAGACTTTGTTTACTTGCTGTTTGTGGTGAAGAGAACATTACTTTGAGAAGCTCCACAGCTCATTAGTGGTGGTGAGTGATCAGAAATACTATCAGATCCCCCAAATGGGCACATTTATAAGCCTACATTTGCGCGCAGGCCAGGTAGCCTAGGCCTACTTCTATGCGTGATCAGGTCCGCGTCCTTACTCAACATTGACAGGAGCACTCCAAACAAAACACAATTAATAAATTGAACTCGTGAATGGAATGAAATAAACCAAAACTTGTGTAAACCAAAAAAGTGATGCCTAAGTTGTGCACATTTTGAAGTGGCCTTTTGTCCCCAACACAAGGTGCACCTGTGTAATAATAATAATAATGCTGTTTAATCAGCTTCTTGATATGCCACACCTGTCAGGTGGATAGATTATCTTGGCAAAGGAGAAATGCTCACTAACAGGGATGTAAACTAATTTGAGCAAAATAAGCTTTTTGTGCATATGGAAAATGTATTTTAAGTTTATGAAACATGGGACTAACACTTTACATTTTTGCATTTATATTTTTGTTCAGTGTATATTGAATGAATTAACAGAAATGATGGTAACCAAACAAACGTTGTAGATGATAAATTATGGGAATTAACTGTAAATGTACTAGTGGTGATACTGGTGTGCCATGCCTGCGGCCTCCACAATGGATTAGTCCACTGAGACCGGCATCAATAAAGACGTGCTATAAAGAAAATATATTTCTTGCAACTGCTTGACAAAAAAATTATCGGCTGACAAACAGCCTATCGACCAAACAATCGACCAGTCGACTAAATGGGGTCAGCCCTAGCATGTAGGTAGGAGCTACATATTGGCAGTGGATTTATTTGCCATGAAAGCCTAAATGTAACTGATTTATCCTAGCTAGGTACATTTAGCATGAATTGATGAAGCCCTTCGATTTGTTCACCATGACTAAAACGTGAAGGCTAGAGGAGGAAGTCCGTCTGCTTGGTGCGGCAGTCCCTCTGCCCTGCCAGCCCCACCTCCCTGTCACAAAACCAGCTGACCTCTTGTCCCCCCCAGACCCCCACAGGCCTTGTGATGTCAAAGATGGCCCAGGGAGCTCTTCAGCGTCCCTGTTTCATCTTCTCCTTTTCTGCCTCTTCTCTCACTCTTTCTCTCTGCACGCACGCCTCATCCGCTCAGGATCGTCATTTCTATTAACTTTTCTATGAAAATGATTGCAGCGTTGACCATTATTTTGATGTACATCAGAAAGGTCATCTTGATCTAACCAGAGGTCTGAGCTAGAGGTCTGTGGCCACAGAAAGGAGAGGCTCATCTGTGTGTGAATGAATGTGCGTATGCCCGACAGGCTTCATGTATGGTCGTCTGTGCCTATCTGTGTGGGTCTCTGAATGAATGGTTGTTTGTGAGTAGCTGACCGTTCAGTATTGTTAGAGGGACTGAACAGTGTCTATCAGCCGGCTCATGGTTGGTTCATATTATCTCTGTCTATAGCGTTCATGTTCTTTATTTTGGTGAATTATTGTTGGTGTATACCACTCAGCAGACCTCTTGTCCTGACTATTAAATGTCCATCTACACAGAGAAATACTACTATGTGTGTGAACCCAGGCAACACTGGTCTACATTTCCGTATCATATCAGCATAATGTCGTCAGACATTGCGAAAAAGCTTAGCCACTAGCTTCACTCATCACCCTGAAGGATGGAACAATCCCGTGCAGCTCTGTGCATCTCCACAATAGTATCAATGAGGATCCAGATAATGAATACATATTGTTAACCTCCACTATCCTCCCCAACCCCCTCATGGTTGCTCTGTGCTCCCAGCTGAACAGTGTCCCGGAGGGGAAGTGAAGATACCCGAGGTGCAGGCTTCGTTCGGCCTTATTTGGAAGCTCCCAGGAGGAGGGTAGCAGGCAGTTGTGACTGTTCCCGCCCCTCTCTAAGGTGCCAGCGATGGCTTGAGAGTGCAGTGTGTTGTGATGGATTGGAGTGCCTTTATTTTTCCCTCTGTGCGTGTGTGATATGACATGAAAATGTTATGCTGATTTAAAGAGTGCCTATTCCCTATTATGGCATGGTTTGGGGTTTGCAGTGGTGACTTTGGTTGCTGTTTAAAGTTCAAGTGTGGGGCTGATGGGTTTGGGGGTGTGGCTGGGTGAGTGTGTTAGGCAGGGTGCAATTGGATGTTGTGAGTGTCTTGTCACCCCTGCACGCTTCCCTTTTGCAGTGTTTGAGTTGATGGCTGTCTCTCAATACTCTGCCATCGCTTTCTTCCCACATCTTCTCTCATGACCACTGACCTGAAAGGACACGGGTAAACACAACATGGTGGTAACCCATCCGGTGGCCATGAAGTTAGAGGCAAGGAAAGGAAGCCATTGGTGTATTGAGACCCAGCTGAGAAGTGTTGCGTTGTGTGCTGTGACTTCACTGTCTTGTCTTGATGTTCTTTCACAATGACCATACTGAAGTCTCCTACCAGACACTCTGTGTGAGAGGGGTGAAGAAAGTTCCTCCTCCTCTCCCCATTTTCTCCCCTCTGAGCTCTGCTTTTGGCTTGTGTGCTTTTGCAGTGAGTAGAGTTCTTCTCTGTTTCCCTTGCGCTGCAGTATCAAGGGGGGGTTCTCAACCCCAGAGGAACAAACCCTAGATGCACTTTGAGGCCTGGTTAAAAATATCCCCCCAACCCCCTCTGTCTCCCCATGGATGATGTGCTGCTAGACTGAGACTGGAGGAGAATGAGCTGTCCCCAGACTCTAGAGCACTAATCGCCAGTCAGGGAGGGAGAGCTTTGAGCACATGAGACCCAACTGGCTAACAGCCTGCCTTGATAAGCTCTCCCTCCCCTCTCCCCCACCTCTCAACAACTGATGCCCAATGTAGCTTGCACACAAGAACAGGAACCACAACTCCATCAAACTTCCCCTTTGTGAGCAAGCGTGTGTGTGATTCTGTGTGTGCGCAGACATTGGTTGGTGTGTGTTTGAGTGTGCTCAGCGAGTGAAGAGCAGCAGCTGTTAAAACACTAGCTGGTGTCAGGCTTGAAACCTGCCAGTAACGGCTGTCTCTCCCTCTCCTCTCTCCCCACCACCACACCCTTTCTCTCTCAGGGGGCTTACCTAACAGGTTTTGTAGGTTTTTAAGTGACGAGGGATGTTCTCATTAACTCGCTCTCTTTGCACATTAGTAGTGGGTGGTGTGGCATCTGGTTAGTTTCTTACACCCCACCACTGGATATACTGGGCTCGGCACATACAGCAGAACTCTAGTGTATTCCAGACCTGCTGGAGAATAGAAATGACAGAATCCAGAGCTTTGCTTTATTTGCTCCTGTTCTTCATTGTATATTCAAGTGTATAACTAGTGTCCTGTTGTCTGTGTTCTCTAGGTTGGCCCAGCAGTATATGTACCCCCAAGCCTTCATCCAGCCCAGCCTGGTTCTCCCCTCTCAGGTGTCCTCCTCCATCAACTCCCCATACCTGGACTACAGTGCTGCCTACGCCCAGTACGCCCAGGCAGCCTTCGAGCAGTACCCCTACGCCGCCTCCCCAGGGTTCCTGGGCTACAGCTACGCCCCCAGCCCTGCCGCCGCCCCCTCCCAGGCCTCCGCCTCTGTTCACCAGACCCTCCCCACAGGGGCAGGCCCAGCCCCCACCTTCCTGCAGTACGCCCCCCAGCAGCATGTTCAGCCAGACCGCATGCAGTGAGGAGGCGCAGAATGCAGGGAGTCCTGTAGGCCTGGGGAGTCACCCTGAGCTGCCACAGCCAGGGCTTTCAGGGAAGGGCTGGAGAGAGTGGGACTATTGCACTATATAGGATGAGCCCCCTCCCCTGAGTCTGGAGGGGGGGGGGGGGGTTGATGACTGGGTTGGGTGGGAGGCTAGAATAAAACACATTGTTGCTTCAGAGGGCTTCCAGAAGCAGACACTTCATTTTTATTATTATTACGGTCTTTATTATCTTTATTGTATTAATGTTGCTATCAATGTTAGTATCCTTTATCAATGTCATTGTTATTTTGTTTCAATCAATGAAAACCTTCAATGTCCATGGTACATACCTGTATTTGGAGAGAGCCTGGATCGGCTTACTTGGACATTTTCCCCCCTCCCCCCTATTGCCAGGGCATGGGATTGGCGACGGCACTGCTGCTTGGGTACATTGGGCATTGGAACAGAGGTTTGGAGGCACGACGCCAACTGTTTCCCTCCACACCAGAGCAGACTAGAGGATTCTGGCCTCTCATACACCCCCAGTGTTATTGCTCCAACACCATGGGGGGGCATGACTCTCTGTGCCTTTCAGAGGTCATCACTAAATGGAGAATGAAGAGATCCTGGGATCCCCTTCTTTGAGACGATCAATCGTTAGACATCAGGACTACATTTATTTTTATGAAAGATGCCTTAATAAAAGTCTTGTTTTTATAAACACTCCTCCTTTAACCCCTTCCTTCACTCACAGAGCCACATGGTAGTCCTCACTTGTTTTCACATGGCCTGACTCTTCATATTTATACCAGACACTCTTGTAGTCTACTGACTCACTTTGTCTTGATTGTTGTAGACTGATGTAGATAATCATATGCAGGAAGTGGGAGGCGGGGTCAAAGAGCATTGGGTGTTTTATGTAAGGTAGCTGACGTAACCAGCGCCTGTATATTTTGTCGAACTGTTAATCTAAGATTGTCAAATGTTGATCTCTCAAAAAGGACATGTACAGTATTTGTAAATGTTTCATTATCAAGTACATTTACAATATTTATGTTTGAGGTATTTATAGGCAATTCTATAAGTTGCTCTTTTGTAACTTGGTCTTGAGGCACTGAAGTCCTACAACTTGGTAAGCGTATGTGCAGATTCACAAATTGTCTTATTCATTTGATGGCCATATTTGTATTTTCCCTCAGAACCAATGGATTTGTCTGTATGCACAACACTGGATGCTCTTTTTTAGCCCCTAGTTTCACCGGCTGTGGCTAGGATCGGACTCTCTGTAGACTGTTTCAGCTAAATGTAATTTCCAGTCCATTCAAAGAAGCAAACCAAAAAAATATTGGAAAAATAAAGAATTTGTATTTAAAAAGGGGCTGGACTTGTTTCTTGATCAACTGAGATTAAATGTTTTAAAAATCTAACTTGACACCACCATAACATTTTTAAACTCCTTTCCATATTTTTGCCTTCGATGTACGAAGTAATGGGTTTTTTTACAATCTCTAAAATGGACTCCATTAGACATTTCTAAGGTTGAATAGAGCTCCAAATGAGCTCCTGTTGGGTTGAGAGGGTTTAGTTGCTAGTGTGTGGATGTGTGTGTGACAGTCGTTATCACAGTGCTGTGTTCTGTCTGCTCTGTGGTGGGGGTCAGGACTCGGGGAGCAGGAGGCCCATGCTTTATCAGCCCACAACACTACCGCCTGCCAGGGGCACGGGTTGTTCCTTGACCCAACACACACACTGTTGCTGAGGAGATGAGAAACTTGGAACTGTAGAGCCAGAAGGGGAGGAGTTTGTTGGTACAGTATGGGGTTAAAAGCACAGTCACCCCTGGTTACCTTGCTTATTTTTATGCATCATAACCATGTGAGTTGTCAGCTGTCAAATATAAAAGGTTTACTTGGTTGGTTTCTCTATCTGCACATCGTGAGTCCTTATGTTTAACATTTTGAGATGTTTTATTTTACCACCAGTACCACACATCAGAGATGCTGACAGTCATGTAAAAAGCTTTGGAACATGTAAAGTACAAGGTTGTGAACCAGCACTGACTGACAGGACTCTGTATTAAGGTCTAGTAGAGGAAGAAGGACCATGTGTATATTTAAAGAGCGCAGAGGGATACCAGATGGCTTTGTTGCAGTATGCTGGACATTTTGACAGTAATGGAACCATACAGTATGTTTAAATAAGCAATGTGCAGTAATGGAATAGATGTCTCAGGGGTTACAGTTACATTGTTGAATCATGTCATAGGTGTTTATGGCTAGTGTGTGGTGACAGACTGGGTGTCCTCTGGTCTATGTGACATCACTGTGTTTAAGTTGGAGAGTGCTGAGTTAAAGTGCTGTGAATGTATGGTCACCTCTTTCATTGTTTTCTCTACTCTCCCTGTCACTCCTCCCAATCATCTGGCTTTCCTCACAGTCTTTCTCACAGTTTCTCCTTGTAGCCCTTTTCCTTTTTCCTGCATGCTCTCCGTTTTCATTCTCACTTTCTTTTCTCACTCTCTCCTTCCTACTGCCTCTGTTTTCCTCCTCATGCTCCATTGTTCTGATCTCACTCTCACCTTCCCACTGTCTCTCACTGAATCATGAGAGGGGAGAAACAGAGCAGTGTCAGATTGATTAACGAGGTCATACACAGGCCCAGCGGAGCATGTTTGCCGAGTCACCATAAGGCATCACACGCACATTCTACAGTGCAGTTCACTCAAATCTAACTCCCCACATGCTCTACTCTGAGTCGTGCTCCCCTCTGATGTCAAGGGATTCCTCAGAACTCATATAACTCGCTCCTGTCTTATCAGCTCCCAGCTACACTTTAATCACAACTCAGAATGAAATGACTTTTTCTACTTGGCTCAGTTACCCCCTAACCCCCACCCTTCTTGGTTTCACTATGTGTTGATCTTTCATTTTGAGGTGGATTTCTACACCATCACTCAGACACCTTTTGTAACTCTCTTTGATGCCTTTTGCAATTATTTGTTTTTATAATATTATAAAATATTTGATATTTTTTAATATTATCGACAACAATTATTTAATTATTAATTTGTTTATGGAAAATGGTATGAGGTAATGCCTGTCATGGTCACCTTATGTAGTGGTAATCAAAAAGCCACACAGGACCAGTATGAATTGAAGGAAACCCCTTTGCAAAACACCAACAGGAAAAGGTGAATGTTCTGGTATATCCTATTGCGTACCATAACTGGAATGTTGTGTAATGTTGCAACACTGAACTACTCAAAGTCTGTATTCTGTTTCCTCTGTAAACACACCTCCCCCTAAATCCAGCTCCTCTGTCCATCTCTCCACTCAGCTGTATTAGTGGTCTTGTGTAACAGTCTGAAGTGGCCCCCTGGGGCCTTGGTAATATCAGCAGCCATTTCAGATTGGGCCAGCTCTATATTTACCCACCCTCTCAGAGTGCTCAGCCCTGACCTGTGTCATCTTCCCGCGCCGACCCAGAGAGATTATAAGGACAGACCTGGAGTGGGGTAGAGTGTTGGGGATAGGTGTGTGGAACATGGGCAGAGGGCTGATGTGTGGTAGGGTATTGGGATGACAAGGGGGGAGGGGGCAGATAGTGTGAAGGCAGATAGGTTTGATGTCCATGTGTGCAGCCTGCTCTTATGGACATATCTAGAAAGGAATGGGATGTAGAAAACCAGGAGGTAGGGAGTAGAGGATAGGTTGCTATGGACGGGGGCCGCAGAGTGTTGAGTGGGAAGGGGGCGGGTTATTGTGTGTTCCAATATACAGGCTTGCTCTGTATCAGCTAGTCTAATGGACTTCTATGTGATTCTCACACTCAGCCATTAAAAGGCGTGGGTGGGTGATAATGAAGACATCCACTATTCAGAGTATCTATAGCAGGCTGTTACTGACAGTCATGTGCATTAAAGGCTAAATGGAAGTGGAGGTTGGTTAATTGGTATGCGTGTGATTATGTGTGTGTGTGCTTGCAAGGTGTTTGCTAGGTCATGAGTGTTTTATTCTAGAGCGATGATGCACTTGGACATATTCAGTCTTTTGGTGTTAATAACAGACTGTTGCTTGCACAGGTTTTGCTCAGGGAGTGTGAATATGTATGAATTTACAGGAAGTGTGAGGGAGTGAAATTAAATCTGTGGGTGGGTGGGTGAGTGAGTGTATGTGTGCTCTCATCACCCTTGTGGTGGAGTGTTTGTGTTTTGCTCTCTCTCTCCCTTCAGATCCCCCATGTCTTCAAGCCTGTAATTTGATCTGAGTCTCCCTGAGTTAAAGCCTTGGGAGGGTAGGCAGCAGCAGTGTGTAATCATTGGCTCAGAGTTTCCAAGAGACAGACATACAGACCAGACCAGGCCAGGCGAGGAAGACAAAACTCTCTTATCTCCGTATCCTTCCCCCTGTCCACTACTCTGTTCACACCAGACTATATGTACAGCTCACACGCCCTACACGATGCACATACACTCCCTCACACACTCTTCAGCGATACACGCTCTCACTCTTCAGCGATACACGCTCTCACTCTTCAGCGATACACGCTCTCACTCTTCAGCAATGCACACAAACACACTTCTCAGTAGGATGGACTGTGCCCCACACACACTTTCCCCAGCGATGTGTGATTGTGCCCAGTCTGCTCACATACAGGACATGGGCCTTGCTGTACATACAGCAGGAAAAAGGGGGTTTCTCTGTGCAGTCACAAGGGCTGTGTGTCATCATGCCGTATGAGTGGCTAATGTAGCATGGCTAACACTCCTCTGGGTAAGATCACATACAGGGGCGAGGTGAGGAGGGATGAGAGGGGAAAGGTTAGCGTGAGGAGCGGTGAGAAGGGCGAGGTGTTTGTGTGTGTGAGTTTGGTTTTACTATCCTTGTGGGGACAAGAAATTCTCACAAGGAAAATAAAACAAGAAAAAAGTGGGGACATTTCGCCGGTCCCCACAAGGAAAAATTCTATTTTAGGCTTAGGGGTTAGAATTAGGGTTAGGTTTAGGATTTAGGGTTAGGTTTTGGATTAGGATTTGGGGTTAAGGTTAGGTTAAGGGTTAGGTTTAGGGTTAAGAAAAATAGGATTTTGTATAGAAATCAATTTTAGGTCCCCACAAGGATATTAAAACATATGATGTGTGTGTGTGTGTGTGTGTGAGAAGGGTTATGAGGAGGGGTGATAGGTTTAAGTAAAGGCGCCAGCATGCTTCGGTTCGGCTGGCACCTAGCCGAACGCGGCTAGGCGAACCAAACGAGTGTGCTTGCATACTCACTTAAAATACCTTCGCTTGAAAACTAGAAAAAAGTGGCAATAGTACTGTTGGTCCATCTTGGGACGCTGTAGCCACTTCCTCAAAATAGTCAGAATTAATCTAAAATAACTCAAGAAATCTGTAATTAATTTTGACGTTTTTGCAGACGAGATCTTAGTTGTAATTGAGGGTGAGGGAGGGTGAGTAGGGGTGAGAGGAGAGAGTGAGGGGGGAAGGGATCCACTGATGGTGTTAGTTTAGCTTTTAACAAACTGGAACAAGTGTCTCTGCTCCCTCCTAACCCCCATTCCCCAACCCCACCCCAAACATTACCCTGTACTGCTGAGGACCAAACCATCCTTGATTCTATGCCAGATTTCCTTATCTCTGGTCAGCATGCATACACCCAGGGCTGGGCCCCTGCCCTAACCCCCAGCAGCGCCACAGAGAGAGCTACTGTTTGGGGGGAGAGGAAAGGAGAGACTAAGTGGCAGGACCTACAGAGACAGAGGCCTGAATGCCTGATGTTTTCTGAAAGCTGAGCGTCCTCATTCAGTGTGTCATTCACAGCCGCAAACAGTGTGTGTGCCCACACATTCTGCACACTCACAAGCATACATGTACTGATACAGGCACACACCCCAACACATCCACCAAAATAAGAATAAACCTGTACACTGAGATATACTAGTTCTGTCTCACACACACATTGACTCTGACTGGCTGTGCTGTGGAGTTGTTAGTGTGGAAGGGATGATTATATAACGATGAGTCTGTGTTATCTGCTCTGCGTGGATGTTATTCAGCCTCCCAGACCTGCCTTTCTTTGAAGCATTCTAACAGATCTCAGTTCAGACGGCCAGCACAATATTAGCATGAGGTGTGTGTGTATGTGCGTGTTTGTGTATGCATGTTCGTGTTTGTGTGTGTGAGGCTTTACAGTCACAGGACGTGTGTGAGGTTTTACAGTCACAGGATGTGTGTGTGAGACTTCACAGTATGTGTTCTCATAAGGGCCTTTGTGTGTGGCCACATACAACAGGAGAGAGCAGGCAACAGGTGTAAGGGGGATGTTAAACACACAAGGACGCATTTTCTCTCTCTCCCTCTGTCTGTCAGTTACT